AAGGACCAGGGATGATTTTGGAGGACTCCCAAGGAGTCCTCGGGACCCCGGAGGATTCTCCAGGACTCCAGAAGGTTACAGAGGATTTCGGATGATCCCGCACGAGCACGAGCACGGGGCCGTCCAGGGTTCCCCGCCCCCCTTCCCCCTGCCCGTCTGTCTTCTCCCGCTCCCCCACTTGGACAGGCAAAGGGTACCGTTTTACCACCTGTTTCTTACCACCTGTTTCAGGAGGATCGCCTCTCAAAGCAGGAGGCCCTGCTCACAAGAGTACCCTCACTCCCTCGCAAAGGCAACTATCACGCGGCGAGCCCTTCACCATTGCCTCAGTATGGGAGCAATCTGCCCATCATATCCTGTAATCTCTGTGGTGGCTACAGCATGGGGAGGGGTACTAAACTCCTGCAGCCCTGCTTCCCGGAACAGGATCGCTTGAGGCAGCAGACAAGAGGTGGCTCCCCAGCAGGGGAGAGTGCCCCGCCCCGCGACAGCAGCGAGCTTCGCAAGCTTCAGCGCGGATGCGTGCCAGGGACCACTCTCGCCTTCTCGAAAGTTTCGTTTCTCGGTCAGACTTCTTGACCGCTGCTTCGTTGCCCAGCCCCTGAAGGAGATGGGTTTGTGAGGGGGCGAAGGTGGATGATGTCGAGACCTCGCCTGCATGGCGGAGCTGCTTCGGGTGAGCCCCCTGAGAATGTTAGTTCCGGGGGATGGCAGCCCGTCGATTTACCCCCCCCGTGGAGGGCTCACCCAGCTGTTTTGGTTTATGCCAGCCAGTCGGCTTTGAACACTTTAAAGGGCCCTCGCCTGGAAGGCGAGGTTGGTGTCGTGCCCACCCCTTTGATCGTGTGAGGAACAGGCGCATGGAGAACGAGGAAGGGGGGGACCACCCTCACCTTCTCCAGAGTCACCCGCCTGGGGTGACTCGTAACGGTCTGGAAATCACTGATAGGGATCCTCCCCTGCCTGGAAGGCGGGGATGATGTGGAACCAGCCCCCTTGAAACTGTGTAAGGGTTTCTCTTCGCGGTTCAAGTTTCCAGGGCTGGGCCACATCTTTTTCAGGCGCGCGTTTGCTGTGCTTGCACGGCCGCGTTGCACCTTGTTACCAGTGTTACCAGGAAGAGGAGGAGGAGGAGGAGGAGGAGGAGGAGGAGGAGGAGGAGGAGGAGGAGGAGGAGGAGAAGGAGGACGTAGAGGATGGGGAGGATGCAAAGGAGGAGGAAATGGAGGTGGAGGAGGAGGTGGATGAGGAGCCCTCCCACCTCCTCCGCCGCCTTCTCCCTTGCTTCCCCCGCTTCCGAAATCTCCCTCAACTTCCCCACTCACACTTTCCCCCTGCTGCTCTCCCCGCCTCCCCGTCATCCCCGATGCGTCCCTCCCATCGGGGCGCGCCAGGCGGCTTGACAAGCGGCGGCTGGACCAGCACAAGAGCTCCGAGAGCAGAACGGCCCGGGCGGCGCGGGCGCTGCAGGCCCCCGTCCCAGAGGGACAGTCAGTAGAAGAGGAGGAGGAGGGGGGTGGAGGGGGGCGGGAGGCGGAGGAGGAGGAGGAGGAGGAGGAGGAGGAGGAGAAGGAAATTATGAGGATCTGAGGTTCTGTACAGGTGGAGGAAGAGATGGAGACAGAGAATGCCCAGGAGGACGAAGAGTAGCAGGAGGAGGAGGAGGAGGAGGAGGAGGAGGAGGAGGAGGAGAAGGAGGAGCAGGAGGAGGAGGAGGAGGAGTAGGAGAAGGAGGAGGAGGAGGAGGAGGAGGAGCAGGATGATCATGATGATGATGATGGTGTTAATGGTGATGCTGCTGATGATGATGCTGCTGCTGCTGATGATGATGATGATGATGATGATGATGATGATGATGCTGTTTATGATGATGACGATGATGAGGATGCTGCTGATGACGATGATGATGATGATGCTGATGATGACGATGCTGATGCTGATGATGCTGATGATGATGCTGATGTTGAATATGCTGCTGCTGCTGATGATGCTGATGATGCTGCTGATGATGATGACGATGATGATGCTGATGATGATGCTGCTGATGATGATGCTGGTGATGATGCTGCTGCTGCTGATGATGATGATGATGATGATGATGAGGAGGAGGAGGAGGAGGAGGAGGAGGAGGAAGAGCTTAGGGGCTCGGTGGAGTTAGGGGCAGTTCGAATGGGGTTTGGGGGGGTTCGGAAGCGCTTCCTAGGAGGGAGAGGAGGATGAGAAGGAGAAGAAAGAGGAAAAGGAGTGGGAGGGTGGGTGGGCGCAGGGGGGAGGGGGAAGGGAGGAGGAGAAGAAGAGGAGAAGGGAGAAAGGCAGGTTCAGGAGCTCCCCGAAGTTTCCGGAGGTCTCCAGAGGTTGTCGGAGGTTTCGGCAGGTCCGTATCCTGAGGCTACCAGAGACCCAACACATGCCAAGTCACGCTCACAACCTGGAGGAGGAGGAGGACGAGGAGGAGGAGGAGGAGGAGGAGGAGGAGGAGGAGGAGGAGGAGGAGCAGGGGGGAGGGAGGGAGGAGGAGGAGGACGAGGGGGGAATGAGGGGGAGACGGCGCCATGGGCCACGGATCACAGAACCCGACAGTTACATTGATGGTGGGGCGATGGCTTTCAAGATGTGGCTCTCGCCTTAGTGCCGCGCACAGCCCCGCGCACATTCGTGTCAGAAGCGTCCACCAGTTACACGGACGGATGGCTTCTCCTTCTCTTTTTCAACATGTGGTTTTCGCCCAAGCGCCGCGCAAATTAGTTCTAAATGTGCCCAGCAGCTACACAATTGAAGGGCGTTTTTCTTTTCCACCACGTGACTTTCTCTTGAGACGTCCCCAGTAGTTGGTGCAACAGCGGGACGGGTGGAGGGCGCATCCTTTCAACTGGGGGCTTTCGCTCGCGACTTCCTTAGGTTTTGTCACCAGGCGATCAGCATTGGACACCATCTGCACGGATTGAGGGCGGCTCTTTTTCAGAGCGGGGCTCTCGTTGGACACTGCCTTGATTTTTGTGATCCGAACTTGTCGCCGTTCGTAGAACTGCAGGTGTGGGCGGCATATCCTTTTTGGCAGCAGGTCATCGCTTTCATGACACGGCCACGGGGCGCTCGTCTTTCCATGGGCCCCGCCCCCGCAGTGAAAAACCATGGTTGTAGGGGCTTCCGAGCAGGAGACTTGGGGCGGGTAGGCGTATGGAAGCATCGTTGATGCATCTTGGGTTTGCTCGGGTCCGTCGTTCTTCTCCTTCTCCTCCTCCTATTGCTTTACCTCTCCTCCTCCTCCCACCCTCTTTCTCCCCCCTCCTCTCTTCCACTCTTGCTCTCCCTCCCTTCCCTCCTCCTCCTCTTCCTCCATCTCCTTATCCATCTCCTTCTCCTTCGCCTTCCCAGCGGGGTTCGGAGGCCAGCTGGCTGCTTTGGCGCAGCACACGTCTGAGAGTGAGTGAGTACCCATCTGCGGCCCTCTCAAGGGGGCACCAGGCCCTGGCACTCTGGCGCTCGGCCTCCTGCTGGACAGGGCGGACCCCGGGCCGTGGCCCACCCGCTCGTCAGACGAGAAGCGCCGAAGCCGCCCGGGCCTGTGAGCAGGCTGCTGGCCAGCCCCTCCCCCCTCCTCCCCCCCCTCGCCGTTCCCCCGCCGTTCCCTGCTGCGCTTCCAGCCTCCCGCTCGCTGCCTGCCGCCCTGGCTGCTCCCGCCCTCTGCCCCCGGGCCTCCGAAGGTCTCTCCCTCCAGACGTCTCCCTCGGAGGTCCCTCTCGCGCTTGGCCTCGCAGCCTCCAGTCTGATCCGAAATCTACCCGTCTTGCTTCCCACGCGTTGGGAGCGTGGACTCGGCTATGCTAGCTCTCAGCTCTGGGGCTTGGCCCAAGCAGCCTACGGAAGAACGGTGAATGATACGAAAGCTGCTCATCTCGTATCTTGCCTCTCCGTCTTCACGGAAAGATGATGAAAATGATTATCCCGCCTACCTTCCCCTACTGCCGCCTAGTGCGGTCTATGTGCAAGCCTCGCCAACAAACTGTGCGTGTGTGGCAGGCCCCTGTAATTGGCGATGCGTGCGTCGGGCACGGAGGTCCCCAGGGGACTGCGGGACCTCCCAAGAAGCAAACATCCTGGACTTCCAGCACGGGCCCAGAAGGTCCGAGCGGACCTCCGAGGCGTGGCCCAGGAAGCGCGAGCAGAGACGCGGACGCCCACGGGGCCCCTGCAGCGGCACTCACGCGGGACACAGCGACGCGTGCTTCGCACGATGCTCCGATCGCCGCGGCGAGGCACCGTCGCCAAGCCCTGGAGCCTCGATCCTCGAGCCTCGGGGGGGGGAGCCTCGGCCCCGGCCAGGCGCAGGCGTCGGCCGACTGCGACGCGCTGGGCTCCTCGTGGCGCAGCCTGTCCCTGCGGAGCCCGCAGTCGCCCCAGGCGTCGACCCCGCAGTCCTCGAGGGGCCCGCGCACGGAGCCGCTGCTCGGCAGGAGACCTCGCCACCGTGGTCGTGAGGCGTGCGTGGTGACGATTCCGTTGTCGTGGTCGCGGTCTTGGTCGTGGTCGTGGTCGTGGTTGCTGTCGTGGTCGTGGTCGTGGTCGTGGCCGCCGTCGTCGTCGTCGTCGTCGTCGTCGTCGTCGTCGTCGTCGTCGTCGTCGTCGTCGTGGTCGTCGTGGTCGTCAACGTCGTGGTCGTGGTCGTCAACGTCGTCGTGGTCGTGGTCGTGGTCGTGGCGGTCCTCGCCGTGGTCGTGGTCGTGGTGGTGGTGGTGGTGGTGGTCGTCGTCGTCGTCGTCGCCGTCGTTCGTGGATGTCGTCGTCGTCGTCGTCGGCGTCGTCGGCGTCGGCGTCGGCGTCGTCGGCGGCGGCGGCGTCGGCGTCATGGAGGAGCCTCTCGAGCGCGAACCTGCAGAGCCGCCCGGGCCCGGGCTCGCGTGTGCGGCCCGGATCGCTGTCGCCTCCTGGCTGCAGCATCGCCAGGCTCGCCGCGGGCGGCGAGCCTGACGCGCTGCTCCTCAGGTCGTTCTCCGCGCGCGCGCGGCCATCGGCGGGCCTCGCCTCGCCCGGCGCAGCGGCCGGGCGCGCTGGCGCGCTGAAGGTGGCCGACGACGGCGACGAGGGTGGCAGGCAGATGTTCGACAAGAACGAGCTGAGAGGCAAGCACCGGGAGCTCTTCTGTAAAGCGATCGCCCAGTATCGCAGGCAGGTGTTGCAGGAGGACGAGGGCTGCGGCACTCTGGCTGGCGCGGGTCCAGGCGGTACCTCCTCGGGCAGCCGGCCAGGCGGCGGCCGATCGGGCGGCGCGGTCCAGGTCTTCGTGCGGAAGCGCCCCCTGTTCGACAAGGACAGGAGGGACGGGGACTATGACGTGTTCTCACTTGTGCCATGCCAGCCGCTGCCGCGGCAAGTGGTGCTGCACAACTGCTTGTTGGAGGCCGATCTCAAGTCCCCCTTCGTCAAGCACCACTACTTCAAGTTCGACTGCGCGTTCGGGCAGGGCGCCGAGAACCGGGAGGTGTACTCGGTGGCGGCGGCCGACCTCGTGCGGAGCGCCTCCAAGGGCGGCGTCGGCACGATGTTCATGCTGGGCCAGACGGGCAGCGGGAAGACGCACACCATGTCCGCCATAGAGGATCAGGGGGGGGATCGGCTCAGGGGGAAACGCACCAGCCTCCGCCGCCCACTGGTCGCTGATAGGGGGCTGGTCGCCCCACCCCGCCCCCGCCATCGGGGGCCTATCGCCAACCTGCCGGCGATGCATCGCCGGTTCCAGGTCGACGTCCCCCCCTCCCCTGAGCCGGTCCTTCTATCTCGCTTCCCACCAGAGGAAATGGCCGCCCACGACCTCTTCCACGACGCTGACGCGGCGGGCGGGGAGCCGCTGCTGGCGGTGCAGTTCGTGGAGCTGCGCGGGAACCGCTGCTGCGACCTGCTGGCCGCCAGCGCCTCCGCGGGCGGCGGCGCGGCCGCCCCGGAGCTGCGGCTGCGGGAGCGGGCCGACGGCGCCTACGTGCCCGAGGTCACGAGCGGCGAGCATATCCGTATCTGCGCCCTCGCGGTCTGGATCCTGGGCGCGACCCCGCGGATGCGCGGCTCGGGGGGGCACGCAGAGGGGCGGGCTATCTCCCAAGTGGGGTCTGGGGAGCGAGCCCAGCTGGATGCCTGCGTTTCCTTTCTCCAGGGGCAGCTCCGAGAGATTCTCCTCTTAATCCGCCTCTGCCCCTGCCCCACGTGTCCGCCCCACCCGAGCGGTCGCACGGACACGTTTCCCGCGGGGCCTGCGCAGCAGAAGCGCCCCCGCATCCGCGGGGTCGCGGACGAGGGGGGCCCGACCCGCGAGGCTACGCGGACACGGACGTGTAGCTCGCCCACGGCGAGGGCGCCACCAGCCTGGTGCCCAAGAGCGCCAAGGAGCTCTGCGCGATCCTGCAGGCGGCGCACTCGCGGCGCGCCACCTCCGCGACCAACGCCAACGAGGTCAGCTCCAGGAGCCACGCGGTGTGCGTGCTCCAGATGCTGCAGGCGCGGGGCCAGCTGATGCTGGTGGACTGCGCCGGCAGCGAGAGGCGGAAGGACTCGATGCACCACTCCCGGGAGCGGCAGCAGGAGGGCGCGGAGATCAACGCCTCCCTCTACGCCCTGAAGGAGTGCATCCGCTACATGACGACGAAGCAGGAGGTGCCCTCGCACGCCTACCGCGCCTCCGCGCTCACGAAGGTGCTGGCCGAGGGCTTCATCAGGGCCCGCGAGGCTGTTGCCCGACCCAGGGGGGGGGATTCGGTAGCAAATCATGGGGGCCTTGTAAACCCGCTTAAGTCCGTCCTTAGCGTCGATCCGCATCGATTAGCATCCGGGAGTCGATGAGATAGCACCGATTTAGCGTCGGTTAGCGCTGATCAGCGTCGATTCTGCGTCGGTTAGCGTCGACTAGCGTCGATAGCGTCGATTCGCAAGAGCCGACAAGATGATATGGGAGGCTCCCATGAGTTGCCACCGAAGGGGGAGACCCAGGGGAGGGGTTGAGGGGATGGGGCGGCGGAGGGGGGTGGGGGGTGGCACGTGTTCGGGATGGTTCCACAATCGGCGAAGGCTGTGTGGGGTCTCTGGGGCACTGAGGGCCCACGCACTGGGACAGCGGACGATCGGGCGCACTGTGGGGCGTCTGGCGCAACCTGTGGCGCGACCCGTCGCGCACCTGATGGCGCAATGGTGCACTCACACGGGAAGCGGAGTGTTTCATTGGATTCCGGGTGTCTGGCGCAACCTTGGCGCAATGCATGGTGCGATGGCGCATCCACTGACGTAACGGACGATTTGGCGGATTGCTGATTCTGAATGGGTTGCGGTGAGCAACAATGGCGCGCCCACGGTGACAACGGACGATTTGGTGGATTGCACGGTGTCTGGCCCAAACACTGGCGCAACAAATGATGGCGCAATGGTGCACCCACTTTGACAACGGACGATTCGGTGGACTGCGGGAAGTCTGGCGAAATCTTCGGCGCAACCTTTGTCGCAACCCATAGCGCTCGCTGAGGCAACGGACAATTCGGTTGAACTCGGGGTGTCAGGCGCAGCCTATGGTGCAACCTGAGGAGCAGTCTATCGTAGACGCAGTGAGATAGAACACTATTTGTTATTATGCGGGGTGTCTGGCGATCTTTGGCACAATCTGAGGCGCAATTCATAGCAGACGGAGTGGGGAAACGGACAATTTGGTAGAATGAGAGTTTCTGCCGTAGCCCACAGCGCAACCTGGGGCACATGTTGTTGAAAGTTTCATGGCAGGGTGAAATCTGGTCAGCGTGGGGGGCGGATCGCGTGGGGAGGTGGGAATGGGGCTGTCCTTTGCGTGGCTTCGATCGCGAGGGGGGGGGGGATTCGGCGTGCGTGGGGAGCCCAGAGCGGGCCGTCTGGCGGAGTGGCACCGCCGGGGCCCAGGGTGCCAATCCGCCGACGCAGCAATTTGACGCGAGTTGCTGGAGTAGGTTTTTCACAGGTGGGTGAAGCGTGAGCGACGGTGCGGGATGGCGTCCCGTGCGGGCGCGCGTCTCGGCCGAGCTCGGTCGGAGGCAGACATCGTCGGGAGTGGCTCTCCGCAGACCAGCAGCCAGCAAGCTCAAAGCTCAGACTGAGTAGACGCAGAAGGCAAGTGGGGGAGGGGAAGGTGTTGTGTGGAGGATGGGGGGTGGAGACGCATGATAGCTTGCGAGGAAAGCGAAGAGTGGTCGCAGGCTCCAGCGGAGCTCAGCGAAACAGGAGAGGCGAGGCTGGAGCCAACCTGCATCATTTATGTGGATGCTTGCGACTATGCTTCCGCCTGTCGGGGAAGCTTCTCGATGGCCTTGGCCTGGCCCGCCCAACATCCCCTGCCTCTGGCGTCTCTGTTGGCCGGGCGCCAACCGAGGCGGTTGACGATCAATGGTCGACGGTCGCCGCATCACACATACGCGTGGACGTGGCGCGGCTTGTGCCAAGGCTCACGGCCAGGAAGCCCTTGGAGAGGCATCTGCCCGACGGCTTCTGCATGCACAGCAGCGTGGTGTGAGGGGGAGGAGGCACGGCGGGGCATCCTGGGTGGGGCTGGTCTGAGCCTAGAGGCTCAGGCTTTTATCCCCTGAGCCGCCGCCCTGTGCGGGGTGCGGGGGGGGGAGCTGGCGAGGCCTGGGGCTGCGCACGCACAGCACCCAGAGATAGCCGAGGCTGGCCCCCACGGGCCTCCAGAGCAGTCGGGGGCGGTTTGACCGCCACCGCGCCGCCTCCGGCGGCGCCACCCGGGGTGCGGGAGTGGTCGTCGCCGCCTTGGGCTGCGCTGATTTGAGCGCCCGTGGAGACCAGCCTGGACTGCCCCCGAGTCTGCACAGGTGCACAGGGCCTGGTCTTCTCGTGTGGTTCAGCAGTGGTCACGTTTCGCGACGCCCTCGCCAAGCCGAGCGGGACGCGTGACAGTAAATGTGCAGAGCGGGGGAGGGTATCTGACATGCCTCTGGCGCATGCGCATCGACGTGTGTTCACATTGTCTGGCATCACGGAGGCCACAAGTGGAGCACCTGCAATGTTGGCGTCGTGTTCTCTACGCGTAAAAATACGTGCGCGGAGGGGTGTATCCCACATCCGTTTTGCTCATGCGCATTTCGCACGCTTGCGTCTGGCGCATGCGCATTTGGCATGTGTCTTCACGTTTTTTTGACACCAATGAGGCCACGAGTAAGGCATCCAACATGTGGGAGTCGGGTTCTGCACTCGTGAAGATAGGCGTGCGGAGAGGTGGATACCAAACATGAGTCTGACGCATGCTCATTTGGCACGCAAGCGCCTGGCGCATCTCATGTGGCACTCATGCGTCTGGCGCGTGCGCATTTGGCCAGTGGTCTCGCTGGTCTTTCGGCGAGAGCGGGGCCACAAGTGAGGCATCCGCCATGCGGGCCTCAGATTCTTTACGCGCAGAAATGAGCTTGCAGAGGGGGATCCAACCTGCTTCTGGCGCATGCGCGCTGGGTACACATTTGCGCACACGCACGCATTTGGCGAGCCGTTTCATCTGTTTTCGACGCCACATGGGCCACAAGGAGGGCATCTGAAATGTGGGAGTCATATCCTCTACGCGTGTATATGTACAAGTATATGTATATGTATGTATGTATATATATATATACATATAGATATATCTATCGATAAATAGTCCCTTTTCTTCACCTTGGGGGGGTGGGACCCCCTCCCAACAAGGACCCCCCAGATCCGTGGCTCCGGGGGCGTCCTGGACGCCCTCGCAGAAGAAAGTCCCCCCAGCTTCCCGGGGCTCCTGGACACCCCTGCTTGGCTTAGGCCACGGGTCCAAATCACTCAGCAGGGCGGCCGCACGGCCCCGCGAGAGCCCCAAGAGGCCCCAGATGCCACACCAGACGCCCGAAGACGACCCAAAGAAGACCCCTTACGACGCTTTCGAACATCAGGAAAATGTGAAGCTGCTATGGTGTTTGTATGATTTTGGGGAACATCTGTTCTTCCGTCTTCCAGGCGTCTGAGACCGCCCAGGAGGCCCGAAACTCGCCAAACAATTGGCCATAAGGGCGTCCGGACAGTCCAAGAGAATTCCAAGACGGCCCAACAGGGTCCCAAGATGGCCCGAAGAGAGCCCTATGACGGCCCCAGATGGCCCCAAGACGCCCCTCGAACCATTCCAAGTCGTGACCTGCTCGTTCAGGGAGATCGCGGTTGGATGCAGGGTGGCCCGAGGAAGCCCCCTGAGGCCCCCAGAGGGTGCTCAGGAGGACTCCAGAAGGCCCCAAGAAGCTCTTAAGAATTTCGGTGAGCCCCCCAAGGGGCTCTCCAAGGTGAACCTCCGCAAAAAGAGTTAAGGAGGATGGGGAATAATTCACAGGTTAGGGCAATCATAAGCAAGAGAAAGAGACAACTATGAGGGAATGATGGCGAAATGCATTCTTATCACGACGATGTCGAAAACACAGAAAGGAGTTATAACTAAATGCTATGATGTTCCATCCTGCCCTTCCGTCAACTTGCCACACTTCCAGAACCAATATGCTTAGCGCGAAGCCGAAATGTAATCTTATACACGTATATACACCTATACCGATACCAATTATGCATATACATCTGCATCCATATACATGTTCGAATGCATCTATATATACATTTATGTATCTGTATCTGTTTATATACACATATAGATACATATAGCCCACACGCGTATGCATATACACTTACATCCAGACATGCCACTACAAACGTATACACATATACATGTACACACTCATGTACAATACATGCACACATTCATGTACTGTGCGTATACACTATACACATACACATACATTTACGTATCCATATACACTTGCATCTGCACATATATATATATATATCTATATATATATATATATATATATATATATATTCAATCATACACATATACATACACATGTACATCTACATGTGCGTATAAGCAACTACACATGTACATGACACGCATGCATATACACATCGCATACACATACATGTGCATATGCTCATGCATATGCAGTTCCATGTACCTATGCATTTACATATGCGTGTGCGTATACTATACGTATACATATAACTGTGCACAGCCATATACATATACACAGTTATACATATATATATATATCTATACACGTCTGCAGCTACAGACACGTATGCACATACATATACATACACGTATACACACACTTAAGCTTACATGCGCATATACATATACATAGGTGTATGAATATACACAGACATTCCCTATACATATGCATACATCGATAAGTGTACACACAAACACATACATACATTTACGTACGCATGCACATAGAGATATTCAAACATATTGATATATACATATACATTTACTTTTACATATACATATACACATGTGTATATACACATCTACATTTATGTATATTTATAGACGTATACATATATACATATATATATATATACATATATATATACATATATATATATATATATATCCGCGTTGGCTGGGAGGGGGAGCCGGATTGCGGCCACGGGTTGGCATGGGAGTCCCCGGCGGCCCGTGGGGGCGCAGAGAGCTCCCGGACAGTTGAAAGCGCCCCAGAACTTGTCCAAGCCCGTCCAACATTGCGTCTGGGGCGCTCTGGCGCCACCCGAGACGCCCCCCAGACAATGTGAAGACGCGCCAAGGTGCCCCCAAGAGGCCCCCAGGAGGCCTTTAAGGAGCCCCCCAGAAGGGCCCCAGGAGGCAAACGTCACACCATTCCCGGAGGAAGACGTAGATTTTCAGCAAATTCGTTTTCCAGTTTTGACAGCCTCCAAGAGGCGCCCAAGGAGGCTCCAGGACCGCTACGAGGCTCCAAACACGGCCCAAGAGGGTCCCAAGAGGGATGCAATTGCCACGTATTCCCCCAGTAAGGGCTCCTCAGGGATCTCCTTGTGTGGGCGGGCATTGTGTCCCTAGACTGGAAGGGTGTTGAGCAGGTGGCGTCGGATCTGTGCACGTACGTGCCAAAACTCGTGCGCAGAGAGGGGGGACATCTGACATGCATCTCGGCACGCACGCGTGGCCGGCAGTGTCCGAGGCCTGCTGCGGGGCCTGCGCGGACGGCCGCCTTCCACCGCACGAAGAGGGGGATGAGGATGAGGACGATGCTGATGAGGCTCGTGAGGCTTAGGCTGAGGATGAGGATGAGGATGAGGCTGAAGACGATGATAATGAGGACGACGACGATACTGATGATGATGCAGATGATGTTGGTGATGCTGATGGAGATGTGGCTGTGATAACGATAATGATGATGGTGGTGATGATGATAATGACGGTATTGATGATGCTGCTGCTGCTGCTGCTGACTGATGATTTTGGTGTTGATGTTGTTATTGGTGATGACAATGGCGGTGGCGATGATGATGACGATGATGATGCTGATGATGGTGATGATGATGGCGATGATGCCGATGCTGCGGATGATGATGACGATGTCGTCGATGATGATCATGATGACGATGATCATGATGATGAGGATGATGATGAT